CCTTAATCAGGTAAAAAATATTATTTAACTGAACCATGAAATTGCGATTTTCACAGATAAGAGGTTTTACTTTTACATTGTATGAAGAATTTTGTTCAGCTTTATCCGCACTTGCCTGTTGTAGGAAGCAGAATATATATAACTTGTTTTCAAATGTCAAAAGTCAAAGGTAGTCGACCTTTAATTCTTCGAGATATAGACAAAAAAAAATGTATCATGCAGTAGGTGCTGTAGCCTTCCATAAATGTACAAATGGGGCGAACGTTTATCGTACAGTCCATATTTCCGGATGTTCGTACTTGTACTTTGTATTTATAGCAAAACTACTAAGGCTATCTACTGCCGTCCCTAATTTTCAACTACTGACCAGAGGTAAGATGGCCGCACAACAGCACCCAAGGTTTTTGTAACAAACCCGCAGCTTAAAATGTGTGGAATATTTTGTGATATCGCACGATTTCCAACCGGCTCGCCAGCTCCGAAACCTATAGCTTTGCCGCAGGTCTAACTCGTGCCCAGGGATGTTCGTAAATGTGTCTTGAGTGAGATTTACAATTATTAATGAATACTTTGCGCCAGTCTTTAAATGTAGGAAATATATTGGAGCAACATTACACAAGTCAATGAATTATAAAACCAGACTTGAAAACACTTGTATGGTTTCGCTCTTGTTGTATCGTTCATCACAAGATAGTAGACTAGTCCTAAGAAATTGTAAGTGAAAACAAAGGAGAACATGTTATATTATGTCAACCATATTACATTCGCCATATCCAGTGTCAACGAGGCCATTCGTGGAATACCAGGGCTCGTCAGTCGGTGTATATATATCTTTTAAAATGTAATATTCTGTTTGATTTTAATTTCTCTCCTATTTTCACTTTGTAAAAACTGCATTAATTTACATTATTTAATATGTTTAGTGTTAAAGAATATGTAGATAATTATGATTATTTTTTTATAGTCATAACTAATCTAAGACTACTACACCAAATTAGATAATGTAATCAACAGTTCCTGTTTAACAATGTAGACTGGTTGTTCCTGTTTAACAATGTAGACTGGTTGTTCCAGTTTAACAATGTAAAGCAAGCGTACCGAGTATAAACATTGGAATCTAGAAATATTAGATTAATGACAACAGAGACGAGTTGATGTTATTATTTAGTATTGGGCAATCATAAAAAAACTGACTAGTTTTGGTATCGAACAAAGGGTCTCTAGGGCAGTGACTTGTGCAAAACAAAAGATAGATCTAAAATGTTAAATTTTGAAGTCGCGTGATGGGCGAGGCTTAATGTCCAGAGAACCTTCTTGAAAGTTTAATAAATGATTATATTCATATTAAACGGAATTAGTCAGTGAACTTAGTACGTTATGATTGATTAGCGAGCTTGTTACAGTGATGTTAGTCTGTTGGCTGTTACTTAATTTTTGTAAATGTGCGAGTTTGTGTTTCAACGAAAATATTAGAGATGCGAGAAGTACCGTAAGTACGAGAAAATTAGGAAGTAAGTGAGCGTTATTTTTGAAACTTAAGTTTTGGAACTTAAAAGTTCAAGAAATAAAATGCTTTCCGCTTCATTATCATTAAGACTGGACTTCGCGTTCTTCTTTTTGCCAAATATTTCAAAACAATTCACCCAATTATTGAAGCCGTTACAACAGTATTGTAACAAACTGTTCTCCTAGTTTTCATTTAATTTCTACTCTGATAAAACCAATAAACTTAAGACTGATGCTTGCCACAATTAAGTTTCGATATCTTAGTATCTTGATTATCACGCCTTTGTATATAAAAGCACTTTGTATTAATGCAAAACGTCCAACTCTTATTCTCGACGCCATTTGCAAATGCCATCCGTACCACTAGGCGAAACCAGGTAATAGCAATCGTCAGTCAAGTCTTTGTATAGGTGGCGCTTCAGTCACATACTTAAAAGCGGGAATATCGCTATTTGAAAGGGGTGTAAAAATCCGAGTAGGCGGTAATTCTTAGATGAGTGTGCTGATGAGAAACTGGTTAATATTATTTTATATAAGGTAAATGTGATTTGGCTCAATTGATTAAAATGTAAGTTGTTGAATCACGTTCAAGACGGAAAAGTTAATCCTAATGAGTATGATCCAGCCGTTACTCGTCTAGTAATACTAGTCAGTGTATAAATAGGTTTATTGTTCGTCTAGTGGCGACTGCTGTCACGTGCTTTATTATAGTACTTATTTTTCATATGGTATAGTGCTCTACTGACGTACTGTGGAGTGCTGGAAGATAGATTCCATTACATCACGAAAGAAATACTTATGTTGAATTGCCATAAATGAAACCTGGTGTCACTGGGTCAAAGTAAATACTATTTTTTATGTATTTCTTACCTAAGGGAGAACATTTGAGATACTAGTAATCTCCAATAACTAAGATATAAGGAAAATGTGTCCTTGATTAACCCTGGATATTTTTCGGATATAGGATTTCAAAATGGTTTAGTTCTAATAAATAATGTTTTTACATAACCTGGAGAACATGTATAAAACAGTAATTTAGTACACTTACTGCCTTTATGTTTTCACATAACCTGGAGGACATGTATAAAACAGTAATTTAGTACACTTACTGCCTTTATGTTTTCACATAACCTGGAGGACATGTATAAAACAGTAATTTAGTACACTTAATGCCTTTATGTTTTCACATAACCTGGAGGACATGTATAAAACAATAATTTAGTACACTTACTGCCTTTAAGTTTTCAAAAAACTCGTGTAGATTTATTTTTAGTAGTTAAATGTCTGTGAGTAGAAGAACCGATTCGGTCTTATTGCACAGACTGCTACTTTACAAGAAGACTAGCTTGTTGGTTCGCCATTTCTAGTGAAAGATGGTAAAGTTAAATCAAATATAATAATAACACAATAGACAACCGGTGTTAAAAATAAAATAAAGAAATAATGATGTGTTATTAATACTTACCCTAACGTCTGACTGGTAAATGGTTTAAATGAAATTGGTGATAATTGCATTTCACTTACTTAGTCTAGGGCCAGGTATGGCCAGGTGGTTAGGGCGCTCGACTCGCAATCTGCGTCACACCAAACATGCTCGCCCTTTCAGACGTGGGGCTTTATAATGTGACGGTCAATCCCACTATTCGTTGGTAAAAGAGTTGGCGATGGGTGGTCTTCCCTCTAGTCTTACACTGCTAAATTAGGGACGGCTAGCTTTGCGCGAAATTCATAACAAACAAACATACTTAGTCTAGTTAACACCATAACGATCGTTGTTCATGAAATCTTATGTTATAAAAAGCGCCTAAACCGTTACTATGTATTCTAACCCAGCCGGTCTGATAAGTTCTGTGTTTGTGTGAGAGGTTTTCGTATGTTTTTAAACAGAAATCTGACTTTCGATACATTTGAATGATTATTAAGGTACTTTGCTGAAGATGTTTTCACTAAACAACCTTTACGTAGTTAGGAATTCCCTAAAATTTCAACTAGTTGTTAGGTAGGGTGTACTAATAATACTGGGTAGTTATCAGTTGTATGTCAGTCGTTTCGTTTCATTGGTTTGATGTCTTATGTTTGTCATCTTCCAATTTTGTTGTTTTTTTAGAGAATAAGTCGGTGTAAATCGAGCCAAAATTTATATAATCGTAAAAGTTTAT